TAGGGGATCATGGAGATGTCTCATACACAGGGTTGCCATGAGTCATGGTCGACTCAAAGATAGTTGACAAATGTATGGAAGGGAAGTATGGGGGCTTGTCTCAGCTCAGGGATGTTCAAGTTCTTTCCTTAAATTATGAAAACATTCTCCAAGATCTAAAAATAATTCAGCTAGTTCCATTTACCAAAAGGGGTCTTGGGCTTCTGCTTTTCATACAGCAACTTGCCACACTGAGATCCCTTTGGAAAAGAGCCTGACCCACAAATCCCCTAATGAGCAAACTATGGGCAAATGCCTGCAGCCTCCTACAGAATTGCACTGGTGTTTGAGGAAGTAAAAGTATAGTTATTTCTCCCAATTTTTAAAACTGTATCTAATGCTCCATGTCAGAGAAGAGTCAGATTTCCTCTTTCTTGCTTTCCAGACGGCTTAAGAGAGAAATGGATGCTTCTCTCAGTTCTGTTACAGTCTGGAAGAGGAAGCAGCAGCAAATGATACATTTGTTATTTCTTCTGGCTTCTACCTAGTTGCAGAGAAATGTCTACTTCTTCTCCAAACTCCCTAGACATGCCAGAGACTGCTTTGGGGAATTAAACATGTTCATGAACCTCATTTCTCCTTCCTTGTCTCTATGACCTGCCCTACTCTGGCCTGTCAAACAAAATATACAGGCATCTTCTCTATCCCATCTCTTTGTTGCTGTTTTTAAACTATTGCTGTTTTTTAACTTACTGTTAATATTCAGAAACAATTTTATGGAAAGATCAAGAAGATACAGTTCTCAAGCTTCCACTTTTTTGATCTCTTCTAATTTTTTGTGGAAACACTCCCACACTCTGGGAAATTGTGACATCTGCTAGATCTTCCGTTCCTCTTCTGATACCTTGCTGTGTTGACTTGAATCCTATTATTTAATGCCATATAAAGTAAACCCGCTGAAGTGAATGGTGAGTCAACACACAGGTACTGATTTAATGGATATACTCTAGCTGAAAATAACAATAGGATTCAAGTGTCTGTTACCTAGAAATAACTAATTTTATCTGCTTTCATATTGGTAGGACTGCAGAAGATATACAATTCAGACAAAAACTGTGTAAGTGACCCAGTAAATTGAAGGAGAAATAGCTCTGTAAAATCTTCCAGCACTGAGATTGCCAGTTCAGGGACATCCTAGGCCAGGGGTAGGCAACCTTTCCCCTTTAAGGGCTGAGGGACTTCAGCTCCCAGAATCCCAGGAGCTATTGGCCAACATGGGACTATTGGCCAACATGGCTGAGGCTTCTGGGAGCTGAAGTCCCTCGGCCCTTAAAGGGGAAAGATTGCCTACCCCTGTCCTAGGCCCTCAGAGGCAGCAGCTGAAGGCCTAGGAGGGAGGAGGAGGAAAAGGCTCATGCCTGTTCCTCCTCTTCCCGGGCCTTCAGCTGTCTCCAGAGAAGCAGCTGAAGGCTTGGGAGAGTGGGAGGAAGAAGTCCTGCCATGGAAGTCCCACCCCTGGAAGTCCAGTCCCCCTGGAAGTCCCGCCCCCCCAGCACTGGGTGACACCTGGTGCCGAAACGCCTTTTCATTTGGGCACTCGGTCCCTAAAAGGTTCGCCATCACTGTCCTAGGCCCTGAGATTTCTGGTCAAAGATAGGGATAGCTCCTGTTGGTGTCATTAAATGTTACGCATTAAGTACCAATCATAGTTGGTAACAGCTTGACATTCAAACACACACACACACTTGCACACAAACATTTTCTTGTTTGGGTATTAAGATATAAATCTTAGCTGTTCCTCAATCAAGATGAAATGAGGGGATAATTAGGGAATTAGGGTATAGTCTCCAGGTAAACAAAGGGTTAATGACGTGACAGGTTAGGTTAAATTTATTACCAAGATGAACTTGAACTCCTAACACAACAAAGGAAATACGATATAATAGGCATCACTGAAACCTGGTGGGATAAGTCTCATGATTGGAATGTAGTAATAGAGGGCCATAACCTTTTTGAGAGAAATAGGGCAAACAGAAAAGAGGAGGAATAGCATTATATGTCAGGGATGTTTACACCTATGAAGACATCCAGGACTTACATATGGGAAGCCAGGTGGAGAACATCTGGATAAAAATTAAATGAGAGGGAAACAACTACATTTTGTCAAGATGTGGCTGTTTTCAGTTCAGATGGTTCTGAATGGGGGATGGGGGCAACTTGGATCTCAAGAGGAGCATCTCTTTTTGTCTTATGAATGGAACTTAAAAATTCTTCATTTCTTGGAGTACCCACATGGCCAGAAGGAGGAGGGGCCCACCTGCATGAATTTCCCTCCAGGAATTCTGGTTGTAAAATTCTGTTTTCTAGTTGTAACTTTGTAATTACAGTTGCCCCTTATGGATTTGAAGTCCGCAGTTTTGCATATTCACAGAGAGGTGACCTCCGTTTAAATCAATGGGGTATGCCCCACTCAAGCCTATGGGGCTTGAATATTTGAGAATCTCTGTTTTCACGGGGGGTGGGGGTGGTCCAGAACGGATCCCCCATGAAAAAGGAGGGCTGACTGTACTCCAAAATAAGAACTAAAGGAAGGTGCCTTCATGGACAAGAATATTTTTGTTAATTTAAGATTGCTTGCTTAGAATAAAACTTTCCATAAAAGATCTCTTCCTTGTCACACTCTCTTGCTCAGGGTGTATGTGTATAGGATTTTCATCTCCCATGGGGGAGGGAGGGAATGTCTCTGAAGAGTTAGAGGTGGGGAAAGAGCAGGTTAACCCCCTCAGTAACTTGCCACTAAGTTACTGAATCACCTGGGGTGAATTAAGGGCTGTACAGATCGGCAATAAATGCCGGCCAGGGGGTGGAGTGGGGGTGTGGTAACCGCACGGCGGCTGCCACAACTCTGCCCCTACGCCAGTGTCATATCGCCTGTCCACCCAGACCGCGGGCAGCGTCAGGCATTTCTTCTGAGCAGCGTTCACACATGCTGTGTGGAAGAAATGGTGAAAAGCTGCTGCTACAGCAGCAAGGGCGACTTTTTGCCATTTTGAAAAGGAGCGGCATTTTGCCACTTCTTTTAGAGCCAGCAAAGTGTTGGATCGGGGCTGTGGTGTGTGGTTGCTGCAGCCCCAATCTGGCACTAAAAGGGGCAGTGCAGAGCCACTCCTTTGGGGTGGTCTGTTTTGCCCCTTAGTCGATGGTAGCAGCTAGATAGACTTCAAGAGTCCCTCTCCTAGGACCTTATCCCACGCTGCTCTCAAAAGTGGCAAGAAAGCGATATGAGCATCATTGCAGTACTATAGCGCTAGTATAAATATGACGCTAGCGCTATAATAGCGCTATGGATAAGCTCGCGCTATTGCAATGCCCGCTGAAACCGACATTCAAAAGAACCCGAATGATGCTGCATTCCGAGCGGTTTCTTGTTGGATTCTGAGCGACGTCGTGTAATCACCCGGAAAACTATAGCGCTATAACGCCTGATTCTTAGCGGATTCTGAGCGACGTCGTGTGATCACCCGGAAAACTATAGCGCTATAGCGCCTGATTCTTAGCCGATTCTGAGCGACGTCGTGTGATCACCCGGAAAACTATAGCGCTATAGCACCTGATTCTTAGCCGATTCTGAGCGACGTCGTGTGATCACCCGGGAATGTATAGCGCTATAGCGCCTGATTCTTAGTGGATTCTTGCTGCTTTTGGCCCCGTGGGATAAGGTCCCTACTCAAGATTAGGAAATGGAGTCTTAACATCTGTTAAGAGTAGGAGATGGGGCCAGAGCTCATTTACAAGGTATAAAGGACATTTAATTTACTTCTAGCTGGAAGATGGATACAGAATAGAGTGGAAGATGAGCTCTGGTGCTACAATGATCTGGAGGGGAAAGGAGGAATCTAAATAAGTAAATTCTTCTCCCAAGGGAGTGTCTAGACCCAAGGAAGTGTCAGATCAATTAAGCCTTGCACATTATATTGAGCTGCTGCTCTGCCAGGTGAGGTGGAGATGTGCACACAGCCCTTTCCTTTTCCCTGGAGCTGAACCCACCAAAACTAGAACATTTGCACCCTTGTCTCCTGTCTAGATATGGCTTATGAAAACTAGAGCCTTAGTGCCAGGCCCCGAAATCTGGCAACTCAATCCAACGTTTTTTTCTTCAACTCATTTCACTCCCTAGAAGGAAAATTCCTTTGAATGTGGGTTGCCATATCCCTGGTTTGGCCAGATTTTGTCTGTATTCTAAACATTCCACCCAGTGCTCAGCTATCATCTCATCTGGATTCTAAGCTTTTGGATTTATTTATTTATTTAAGCAAGCATCTAGTCCAGGGACCGGCAACCTACAGCCCGGGGGCCGGTTAAGGCCCCGGGCCCCGGACTTACCGGCCCAGGCCGAAGGTTGCCACCATTGCCGCCACCATGCGCTGCCACCAGGGCGCGTTTTCGGCCACGCTCGCTGCGGCTGCTATTTTTGAAATCAAAATGGCGGCTGCGACGTGTGCGCAAACGCATCGCGGCCGTGATTTGGACTACCAAAATGGCGGCCGTGACATGCAGCGTGGCGGCTGCGGCCGCGAGCACTACGGTGGCCGGCAGCGTGCGTGGGGGGCGCACGGGGTGGCGGGGGTGTGTGCACGCGTGCGCGCGCACCGCCATTCCCCCCCCCCCTTGGCCCAGCCAAGACCTGGGCTACGGGAGACCGGCCCAGGTCTCAAAAAGGTTGCCTCTCCCTGATCTAGTCCTTCTACATGCAGTATTACAGGGCAAAATATACAATAACTCTTTTGTGAGAAAGAAGTCTGCCTGGCCTTTGACATATCCTAGTTTTTGAATGTGTTTAATCAGCTGAAGTCTTACACAAGACTGATAGAGATATACTATTTGTTGTTATTTTTGTTGTTGATGATGAGTGCCTTCAAGTAGTTTCTGACTTATGGTGACCCAGGGTTTTCTTGGCAAGTTTCTTTAGAGGGCGTTTTCCATTGCCATCCTCTGAGGTTGAGAGAGTGTGACTTGGCCAAGGTCACTGCTGGGATTCGAACCCTGGTCTCCAGAGTCTTAGTCCAATGCTCAAGCTACTACACCACACTATCTCTCTAGAGGTATACCATAGAGATATGTATTAACCAAGATTCATAGTTTCTGAGAACAATATTTTAGAATGGAGGCATTTCAGATACTGTGCTTTTTAATCCCTTAATGCTCATCTGGAGGAGAATAAAATGACACAGAATACCAGCTTCTAAGTAGGTCATGCACACCAAATTCACCAGTTGCACAAGATCAGATGAGAGTCTAATCCATAAAACAAGCCACACAAATTCAGTAGGAACCACCTTCTGTTACCATTCTAGGCAAAATATTTAGATTCTAGAAAATGGTCCAGAACATCAACATTTCAGGGAACCATCCCCTTATAATTTTCTGACTGTGTAAGGCTAGTTGGGAGAGATGACACAAACTACAAAAATTCCACAGAAACCACTTTCTTATACCCATTTTAGGCAAAACACTGTATTGGAGGAAATGACCCTCAAAGCCAATTTTCCAGATAGCCATGCCTACCAAATTCAGTATTTTATAAGACTAAATGGAAGTGATGCCACAAGTCACAAAAATTCCGTAGCAACCATCTTCAGATCCCTATTTCATGCAAAATATGTCTTCTGGAAATTGGCTCAGAACAATAACTTACTAGGTAGCCAGAGCAGATTACCAGTTGAAGAAGATTATATGGGAATGATGCAACAAGCCAGAAGAATTCAGAGACTACTTCTTAGTACCCATTCTGGTAGTTTAAAAAATCTATAGCAAACTTAGGGCCTTTGCATACTGCCAGAAATAGTGCACTTTAAATTGAGGCACTGCCCTGGCTCAGTGCTAGGGAATCATGGGAATTGTATTTTTTTCTGAGACATTGAGCCTTCTCTGTCAAAAAGCTCTGGTGCCACAATAAATTACAGTTCCCATGATTCCCTAGCACTGAGCCAGGGCAGTGCCTCAATTTAAAGTGCACTATTTCTGGCAGTCTGCAAAGGCCATTAGTTTTCTGCTGTTCCAGAGAACAGGACCCAGATCAGTGGATGCAAGCTACAGGAAAAGAGATTCCACCTCAACATTAGGAGGAACATCCTGACAGTAAGAGCTGTTCGACACTGGAATATGCTCCCTTGGAGTGTGGTGGAGTCTCCTTCGTTGGAGGTTCTTAGGGCCTTTGCAGACTTACAGAAATAGTGCAAATTGAGTCCACTTTAAGGGTTAGGGTTAGTGCTAGGGAATCATGGGAATTGTTTTTTTTTTTCTGAGACATTGAGCGTTCTCTGTCAGAGAGCTCTGGTGCCACAATAAAATACAGTTCCCATGATTCCCTAACCCTAACCAACAGAGGCTGGATGGCCATCTATGAGGGTGGCTTGGTTGCACATCAGGGGGTTGGACTGGATGGCCCTTGTGGTCTCTTCCATCTCTACTATTCTATATTTTGGAAAGTGGCCTGGAATTCCAGTCTCTCTAAAATATGGCCAGTTCTAATTCATTCATTTCACACTTTTATGTATTCCCAGAACCACCTACAATAATCTAAGATATGCAGATGACACCATACTTCTAGCAGAAAACATCATAGACCTGGAACAATTACTAAGGAATGGGGAGGGGGGGAGTGCAAAGGCAGACTTACTGCTGCACATAAAGACAACAGATATAATTACCATGGGGGATCTACACAAATTCAACCTAGATAATGAGGAAATATTGACCAGAACACAAATTGCAGTCAGGAAATCAAAAGAAGACTAGGAATGAGAAGGGCAGTGATAAAAGAACTAGACAAGATTCTAAATTGTAAAGATATACAACTGAGCACCAAAGTTAGAGTCATCCAAGCCATTATATCCCCCATGACCATGTAAGGGTGCAAAAGCTGGACAGAGAAGAAAGCCAACAGAAAGAAAGAAACTCATTTGAGATGTAGTGCTCAAGAAGAGTGCTGAGGACACCCTGGAAACAAATGGATCTTAGGACTGATCAAGCCTGAACTCACCCTGGAAGCCAAGATGATGAAATTGATGCTGTTGTACTTTGGTCACATCATGAGAAGACATGATTCATTAGAAAAGACAATAATGCTAGAGAAGGTGGAAGGTAGTAGAAAAAGAGGAAAACTCAATCAGGGAGGTTACAAGTCTGAATCTGCAGGAGGTAAGCCAGGGGTAGGCAACCTTTCCCCTTTAAGGGCCAAGGGACTTCAGCTCCCAGAATCCCAGGAGCTATTGGCCAACATGGGACTATTGGCCAACATGGCTGAGGCTTCTGGGAGCTGAAGTCCCTCGGCCCTTAAAGGGAAAGGTTGCCTACCCCTGAGGTAAGCAAAGCAGTGGAACATAATGGGGATTGGAAATGTCTCATCCACAGGGTCACCATGAGTCTGGGTCAACTCAAAGGCAGTGAATAACAGAGTCACCTATATTATTGCCATATTCTCACCACCTGACCGACCTCTCTCCCCCACATCTTGTTATATTGCTCTGTGTTCTTGTTATTTTTTTGCAGCAGTAATTCACCACTACCTTTATCTGCCTGCTTTCCTTAGATCTTGGTTATGGTTCAGCCATTTGAAACTACACTTCCACATTTTTTTTAACTTTGTATTATTATTATCCTAACTTGCTTCTGTGGAATCCCTTGTACTGACCAGAGTCAGGTCTGCTTAGTCTCACTAAGGTATTAGACTATGCCGTGTACCTTTGTGTACTCTATTATGTCTATTCTATTAAGAACCAGGGACCTATTGTGGTTTGCATATTGGACTGGAATTCTGGGAGACCAGGGTGTAAATCCCTGCTTATCCAATTGAAATGCAGTGATTTTGCGCATACTCACTCTGAATAAAGCCTACCAAGAAAATGCTGTGAGAGGGTAACCATAGCTCAGAGGTGACTTGAAGGAACATTAACAACAATAACATTATGTTTGAGGCTCAACTGCAAGGACTCCCAAGCAAAGCAATTTCTGTCTCTCTCTCTCTCTCTTTCTCTGCCATCTATCTATATTAGGAATGTATTTTAGTGATGTATGCCATCTTACTAAAATACAGCCTGAAGAACATTCCTGTAAAATTTACAGATAATGTGAAAACTAGATTAAATTCAATTGACTGGGAATCAGATGAACTCTGGACTGAAGTCAGGGACATTCTCAGGAAAGAATATAGAAAAACACTATCTGTAGCCAAAAATTAAAATAAGCCTCAATGGAAGACAGATGAAACTCTTAAAGCTGTCCAGGAAAGAAGAGATGCAGAGGTGAAAGGTGATACAAATAGAACCAGAACCTTGAATACATTTGTTCAGTGACTTGTGTGCAGGGATGAGGAGAACTCCTACAATATTTAGGTGAAAGGGAACTAGGAGTCATATTAAACTGCAAGCTAAACATGAGTCAGAAGTGTGATGTAGTGGCTTGAGAGTTGAACTATTACTCTGGAGAACAGGGTTTGAATCTGCGCTTGGGCATGAGACCTACTAGGTTACCTTGGGCAAATCACTGTCTCTCAGCCTTAGGATGGTAGAAACTTGGTCACTTGGCCATGAAACCCACTGGGTGACCTTGGGTAAGTCACAGTTTCTCAGCCTCAGAGATTGGCAGAAACTGGTCAAGAAACTTGGCAAGATTATTATTATTTAACAATATCAGTTAAACCACGTTAATTAAAACATGCAACAGGTTAAAAGAACAAATAAGACATACAAATTTTAAAACATTCTACATTTACAATTCAGCATCTCATTTCATAATTTAAAATTATCTGGATAAGCCTGCTGGAAGAGACTGGTCTTTAATGCTGTTTTAAATTCAGGCAGCGTATTCAGTTGTCGAATCTCTTCCGGCAGCTTGCCCCACAATCTAGGGGCAGCTGAAAAGAAAGTCCTCTGGAGTCCTGGAGTAAATCTCTGCCAGAGGACCTGAGCGTACGGGACAGAGGAAAAGGAGGGAGCAGGGAGGAGGTGATCCTATAAACTGGACTCAAACCATGTAGGGCAGGGATAGGCAACCTAAGGCCTGGGGGCCAGATGCGTCCCCCGAGGCCTTTGGACTGGCCCCAGGCTGGTCCTGCCGCCACCGCCACCCGTCATGATGATATTGATTATTGTTGTTATTACTTGTTCTTGGTTTTTTTTAGTTTTTTAAGGGGGGAGGGGGAATGGCCTTGTTTTAGATTGTATCTACTGTATACTATATTTTATTGTTCACCGCCCGGATTGGTTCGCCAAAGGGTGGTATATAAATAAATTATTATTATTATTATATTATTCTTGGCAAAATCTCCACAGAGGTTTTGCCATGGCTTTTCTGGGGCTGAGAGAGTGTGCATGCATATTTTTCTAATTTTTATTTTTTTTAATTATTTTTAAAATATTTATTTATTTATTTATTTATTTATTTATTTATTTTTGGTGCTTCGGCCCCCCCAATTGTCTGAGCAACCCGGCCCCTGGCTCAAAAAGGTTGCCTACCCCGACACAGACGGTTATTATAAAAACAGAATTTGTGGCATGTTCACAGCATAGTGAGTTATCTTTATAGGCATCTTCAGCCTAAGATAACTATCTGCCTTGACAGACGGCTTAAAAAGCCGTCCTCGGGGCAAGGAAGGGGAGGGGCA